TGGAACATTCCGTAATGTTTATCATTCGTTAGGCAGCGTCTATATCCAGATCAGAAACAAGCTGCTCAATGAAAGAATACGTCTCAAAAACCATTTTATACTTGGATTTGTTCCTTTTGGTAGTTCTTTTGATGAATTTATCAAGCCATTCATTGTAGAAATGAAAGAATTAGAGAAAGGAATTGTCATGAAAATCCAAGAAAATAAATGTATTGTTATTGCAAGCCTTGGTGATATCACTGCCGACTTGCCACAAGGTAATGATTTGGTTGGAGTAAAACGACATGGTGCTAATAGAGGATGCCAGACCTGCAATGCAACAAAAGATTCTTTGACATCTGATGGACTTGACTTACAGTTAATTTCTCATTATCATTACCAAACAGATAAACAATTTAAAGAGATTTCTAAGGCATCAATGATTATTGAATGTAAAGCAATTGCAACAGAGTATGGACTACAATTACAGACGCCAATTCTTGATCAATTAAAAAGAGAAAGACATCTCCAATCACCACAAGATGTCTATCATCTTACAGCTGGAAAAGTGCTAAGATTTCTTAAGATTACAATCGAAGCACTTTTACCAGGTAGACAATCAGAATTATTAATAGCTTGGAAGTCATTCGAATATCTGAAGTCTTGGTAAAAATTACCAAATCCAATATCCCACATTGACAGTTTTATGATGTCGAATTGTTTACAACTAATCATGATGTTTCCGTTTATTCTTAATAGATTCTTGAATAATACATATTTCAAAAATTTGGAATTTTGCTTATTTCAATATCAAACGGGAGTCACACGATCTTATTTATCATTTCTCTTTTTGAATTATTGTTTGATTTCATGTTCTATTTGCTATATGTGTATTACTTAATAAAAATTTGTTCAATGTAATTAGTAGTAAGATGTAATAAATCAATAAATGAATAACTAAACCTTTGCTACCTATTATTCTTGTTTCTTTTAATTGCACATATATGCAATAACCAATCATATAAATTAAAGAACTGAATGTTACCAATGATAAAAGTTTCCATTCATTATCCAAACTTTTGCGTAATTTGTTATAATCTTCTTTTGAATAGGAATCTTTAAATACCATTGCCATCATTTTTGCTACTGATACCCAACACTTTATCCAAAGTTTCACAGCCAAATTGCTTTGAGTAACTTCCGTTCAATATTGAAATAAGCCAAGTTCTGAATTTTTGAAATGTGTATGATTCAAGAAACTATTAAGGATAAACAGAATCATTATGGTTAGTTGTAAACAATTAGACATCATAAAACTGTCAATGTGGGATATTGGATTCAGTAATTTTTGCCAAGACTTCAGATATTCAAATGACTTCCAAGCTATTAATAATTCTGATTGTTCACCCGGTAAAAGTGCTTCGATAGTAATCTTAAGAAATCTTAGTACTTTTCCAGCTGTAAGATGATAGACATCTTGTGGTGATTGGAGATGTCTTTCTCTTTTTAATTGATCAAGAATTAGCGGCTGTAATTATAGTTCATACTCTGTTGCAATTGCTTTACATTCTGTAATCGTTGATGCTTTAGAAATCTCTTCAAATTATTTATCTGTTTGGTGATGATAATAAGAAATTAACTGCAAGTCAAGTCCATCAGATGTCAAAGAATCTTTTGTTGCATTGCAGGTCTGGCATCCTCTATTAGCATCATATCATTTTATTCTAACCAAATCGTTACCTTGCGGCAAGTCGGCAGTGATATCACCAAGGCTTGCAATAACAATGCATTCATTTTCTTGGATTTTCATGACAATTCCTTTTCTAATTCTTTCATTTCTACAATGAATAGCTTGATAAATTCATTAAAGAACCACCAAAAGGAACAAATCCAAGTACAAAATGGTTTTTGAGGCGTATTCTTTCATTGAGTAGCATGTTTCCAATCTAGATATAGATGCTGCCTAATGAATGATAAATGTTACAGAATATTTCAAAGTACTCGTAATACACACCAATGAATAACTTGTATACCGAAAAATGTATTTCTGGTTCTTCTAATGCCGCAAATTCTGAGAAATGTTGATATGAATATTTGACATCTTTTAACTTCCAGTGGCCATTATGCTTGTAGAGGACTTCCTTAATTTTAATTGAATTAGCAACATTTATAACGTTACCATAAAGAATAACAATTGATATATGTTTAACAATTGTTTGCAATTCGACATTCACGATTGCATTATCCATATCTCAGCCCAGGAATCACAGTTCTCTTTTTTGTGATCTTTGTTTTCGATTGTTACTTTGCAAATTTCTTGGTAACTCGTCATATGTTAAAATGCGTTGGATTTTAACCTTTAGCTGGTCATCTTATTGCACAAATGCTAATATGCGGCCGAATCTTTTCAATTCTCTAGATTCTCTGTATATTATGAAATCACCGGAGTAGTATACTTCTACAAAGAAAATTTGTAAACATTTGTCAACAGAAAGCAATTAAATTTCTCTCTGAAGTTACCTTGAGTGACTATAACTGATAATTGTCTAAATTTTGCAGATTTCTTCCACAAGTTACTGTGCCAAAATTTTTTGTTTTTTTCGACTTCCTGATCAGGTCCGAAGTACATATTGCTAAATAATGAAGGATTATTTAAAATGTAGCAAATATTATCTATAATGGACAAATAATATGCTTCTTCAATGTTTTTAGATGTTGACAGTGTCTTCTTGTTGGAAATACTAATTCGGCGAGATTTAATTAGAAGTAGAGGCAATCTTTATCTATATTTTTTAAAGCGTCGACTATTTGGCATAATGTCTTCGCTTTTAAACTGTGGATGTTGGATTATGTCCACCAGTTCGTCATATGCTTGAGTGGCTGGTAAAGAAATGCTGTTAGTTTGTTTATAATATCATTTAAAGTTTTGAAGTAATCTAACTTACATATATGGTGTTTTTCCACCCAACAGAAGAACAATGATTCAGTGATATTCTTAAAGTATGACGCGAATTCACCAAAAGTTTGTGGTATTTGTTTATTACTGAAAGGTTTATCAATTATTACTTCTTCATCTGATTCTCTTTCACTATTATATTCATGGCCACTACTATCCTCTTTATCACTTTCGTCAAATTCCGTCATTATTCTATCATATTCACTTGCTTCATTATTCGTATAGAATTCTATCTCATCTTCATATGCTTATTCATTCTTTTTATTAAGCTCTATATCGTCTTTATTCTCTAAGTCAATAGCAAGTGTCATTTCTTCATTTTCATCATAAATAGTCATTTCAGTATGATCATTATTTTCATCGGCAACCATATTTACTATATCTTCTATAAGAATAGAAACAGAAATGCTAGAAAAAGTACATATAACATATTATAATGACAATATCAATATTTACCATTTGTCTTATAACTTCTTTCATTTATCAGCATTGACATTTGTGAAAATATATTAAACGCATTATATCATTGTCTAATATAATTATGTTGATTATTGGAAGTACCAGTGCTATAACGATTTCGAAACATTTTATCAAAGAGAGATATGAAAGAAAAAGTTATACAAGTATTTAAAAAGTCAATTCTTTTAAATGAAGCCATTTATATACTTTTATAGCAAACAATAATTAGACTTTATTATTACAAATAGTATAATCATATTTTAATACAAATTTAGATATTTATAGCAATATTTAAATAAATAAATCAGTTTAATTGATACAGCTTTTGTAACAATAATGTTTACAATGACAATTATATTATATCACATGTGATGTGAAATACTTTCAATAAAAATTAATTAAACTATTAGCATTAGTGACACCAATTGTATTGTTTGCATTGTTTGCTTAATAGAGTTAGTAGTTAGCATTAAATTTGAAGATCAGCATAGGCCAAATTGACCACTTGGCAAGTTGACCATGACTGGCCAAAACGGTCTCGTCAATTTGTCCTCTGGGTGAATTGTTCTCTCGAAAATAATGTATATAAGGGATGGATTGATGTTTGGGAGAAAGAACACATTTTTTTTCATGATATCTTTAATAAAATATAATTTCTCTGATATTCCCTTATACTGATATTTTTAATGGTTGTAATAATTTTGTATGATCAACATTTAATAAAATTAATTCCGTAAAAGTACAGAGCGCTGATATTTGAGACAATACTGATTTATTAATTTTTATTAAAGAACTTTTGCATAGCATAATTAAAATTCTTCTGCTATATTAACATTTCTTTTTACATAGTTAATACTCTATTATTAAATATTAAAAGTATCAGTTAGTTTATCGACTAAGTCATTTATGGTAAATTACAATATTAACTATTACATTTGTTAAATTTAAACTGTTATATGTGTAATGCTTATCTATTGCTCGGAGATTGGATCATCTAATCTAAAGATCAGCACGAATCAAATTTTTTTATTTTAGCCAAAAGAATTATATGTTTTTTATTACTATAAAAGTTTAGCTATATAGGAAAATTCTAATAAATATCGATTTTGATTGATATCATAAAAGTTTAAATACATGTTCATGATAAAAGTATATAATAAGTAAATAAAATTATAACCTTTTAATAAAGACACTATGAAAGTTTAACTATATAAATTGTATTTCTTGTGTTTAAAAAAAAACTATTAATTATCTTTTTTCATCATGTCACCAAAAAATAAGAAGACGCAAAATGAAGAATTAATAGCATTCCTAAGGACCAGAAATCAAAAGAGAAAGCAGGAAGATGATATGAGGCCTTTGTAATAGAAAGGGGGGAAACAGCTGGAAAAATCAAAAGTGAGTTAATGCTAAATTTGAACATATTTCAGCATAAAAATCATATTTATCATATAAAGTAAAATTAATTTTTCCCGGTAGTTTCCCCTCTTTCTATTGCAAAGGCCCCATATTCTCATACCAGATACGCCTGCTAAAAAAACAAAAACTCCTGCTAAGCGAGATCCGAAGAAAAATACAAAAGAGCCTATTATCGAAGCTTTAAATGATGGTGATAATGGGAAAATACAAAAAATAACGGCGCCTATTAATCAAAAGGAAAATAATGAAGTTTGTGGTGATGATGAATGTATTGATGGCAATGACAGCGAAGATGATGACGGTGTTATAGATTATGATAATATTGAAGATGATGATGATAACGAAGGTGATGACAAAAATGATGATAAATTACCTGCTGAAAGACTAACTATTTCAGTTAGTGAACTTTTAGAAACAAGCGATGGCTATCTTTTAGAAGGTAAAGAAAGTGTGTAATAACTTAAAACCATGCTTATTATTGTTTATCATTTATTAATTTATTCGCTTTTCATTTATTTAGATATTATAAGTGTTAAACATAAACCTCTTGCACTGATTACAAACAATATGCATATTAACAAGCTTCATAATAACTCATTAAATAATTCAAATAAAGCAACTGATAGAACTTTAAATTATAATTCACATTTAATTAATATATCACACCACATTCATCATCACGTTTAACTAATACATGTCCATCTACCCCAACACCATGTTCAACATATACGACTGATACGCGTTCATTTATGACGCATAATTTGCATCCATCTACATCACGTACGCCGCATTCAACTAATGCGCGTTCATTTACATTTCACTCTAATAATACAAATTTTAATGATAATATTTTTTCGATCAAATACATCTAATGTGTTTCGTTCGAACACTTCTTTAAATGATAATACTGATATTTGTCTGATATTTGATGCTTTCAATGATGATGAGTTTCGTTCGAATAATACATCTTTTTGATCAAATAATGTAGATTTTACACCTTTTCGTGG